GCAGGAAGCCGCCCTGCCTGGTTTCCTGCTGCCCCCCCCCCCCAGGATTGAACTCAGGCCCTTGCACTTGCTGGGAAGCGCTTATTCCACTGAGCCATCTCCCTAGCCCCTTCAAATGTATTTTCACTGATGGATCTTTACTAAATTTTCGTTTTATACATTTGATCGAATTCTTTTCTAATAAATTTGTTTTCCCTTAAGTTTGTAATTTATGTGCTTACAAAGTGGATGGGTCATGCTAGACTGATGGCTGGCAGCAGATGAAATTTCCTTGCCCCAAAACCCAGGGGTCACGGTAGAGGTGACGTGTACAGACACGGGCAGCCAGACACAGGTGCAGGCTGAGCCCCAGGCCAGGGACGGCAGGGTTTGCATGAGGACAGTTTCTGCGTTTCTCTGTCTTCACCTTCTCCGGGGAGGAGGCAGTGTGGCCAGGTGGACTTGGTCCTGGACTGGGCTGAATGTGTGTGTTTCCTGAAGCACAGGATGCACTGGATGGCAGCCATGGGGCTTCTGCTCCGCCCCCAGCCCTGCGCCGGGTTGCGAGCCTCTGCCAAGTCTCAGGATACAAAGAGGGCCAGGTCTGGGGCCAGAGCAGCTGAAGAGGTAGAGATGGAGCAGCTGGACTGTGGCGCTGGCATGGGTGGCCAGGGAGCGGCACGGCGGGCTGGGGCGCCGGCAGCACCACCTTGAGCCAGCAGAAGGCTGCATTCCGTCTCTAGGAGGAAACAGCCCTCTCCTTAGGAGTCAAGTCTGCCAGGTGCTTGGGAGGAATATTTTATATCTGGTAGTGATTATCTCCGAAGACTATGTCTGTTTTCCAGATGTGTATAGAATTCTTGAAATCCTCTTCCCAAGGCTGTTTTATCCTCCTGACTCTTGGAAGGCGGACAGCAGCCTCCTAACAGAAAAGACAGCTGTAGTTGTCACCCTTTCCATCCCACCCTCGTGCCGCTCCAGGGCCCGGCTGTCTCCATAGACTTTGTGAGACAGTGTGAACACATGTGAGACCTTAGGTGCTGGGGTTTTGTAGAAATATTAGTTGAACTTCATTTGAAACTTGATTAGACTGGTTTCCTGTAAAAGTTTCACCTCTTGCAGGAACAAAGTGCTAAACGCGATTTCAGGTCTATTCTAGTTAGTTAACTAGTTAGCTAGTCTTCACACCTTGCAACATTCTCAGCCTCTTTTTATTTTTTCATATGAGACAGGCTCTCAGTCGCCCAGGCCAGGCTGGAGCTTGTCCTCTGCCTCAGCCTCTGAGAGGGGCAGGACGGAGGCACGTGCTCCCGTGGCCAGGTTGTCTCTTGGTCTGGGTAGATCAGGATTGATGACGTCCATTGCCAATAGGAGATTACTTTAACACTTTGTGTTCATTCACACTGTCTGGTTCTCAAAGAACTTCAGATAGAAGTATAAAATATAGGGCCAGCCAGAAAGCTCAGCGGATTAAAGCGCCTCCTTAGGCAGACACAGGGGCCAGGGATTTGGTTCCCAGCCTGTTGCGCTGGCCCTGCCCCTGTGGCGCGCTGAGATGACTTTTTTTTTTTTTTTTTTTTGCGGAACCAGGGATTGAACTCAGGCCCTTGTGCTTGCCAGGGAAGTGCTTATTCCACTGAGCCATCTCTCCAGCCCCTGAGATGACTTTTGAGACTGGGCATGGTGGTGCACGCCCGTAATCCCGGTGCTTGGGAGGCTGAAAACAGGAGAATCACTCCAAGTCTGATCTACATAGCAAGACCCTGTAGACCCTGTAAACCCTGTACTAAATAAATTTTAAAAAATATAAAACCTTTCTCTCCAGGAAAAGCCTTGTCTCCAACCTGTTTTCCCTGAGTGGAAGTCAGAATGAGGCGATTCGTGTTTCCTGGGGATGGGAAGCTGTTGGTGTATGTCTTCATGCAGCTTTTCCTTGATGGTTTTGTGTGAGGTGACACACGTGTCAGGGTTTGGCACACCTCAACTCAGGATTACCTGTTTTTGAATAACCTGCAAGCTAAGCATGGTTTTTCACATTTTTAAATTATTGAAAAAGGCCAATTGAAGAATAATTACTCCGTAGCATATAAAATTAAATGCAGCTTCTGTTTCAGGGTCCATACAGCGAGCTTTGTTGGGGCGCTGCTGAGCTGCAGCGTGGCCTTGTAACAAAGCCTGTAGGACACGGCGTGCAGGGTCCGTGGGGCGTGGCCTTGGCCTCATCCACCCTGAGGCAGGGCCTGGCCTCGTGCGTCTCTGGTCTGGGCCATAGTGAAGCTCACAGGTAGTATCGGTGCTCTGTGGCTGCATCCTTGTTTCTTGAGGGATTGTTTTTGGGCGTTTATTTTCTTCCAGCGGGGGAGGGAGGTGCTCTGAACCTGTGTCGCCCGCAGCCGTCCTGCCCTGTAGCGTGGTGGTGCAGAGCTCGGCACGCCGCTACCCTTCTGCCACTCATGTCACAGAGGGCATCTGCGCCACCCCAGGAGGTTCCGACAGCCCCCAGGGACTCCCTGTGCCTAGAAGTACCCCTTCTCTGCGGTGGGGGCCGAGGGCGTTGTAGGCCGTGCCAGCCCCTGGCGAGCCCCGCCTTCCGCTGTGCTTCCTCTCAGCGACCTGAGCCTGGACAGACGGTGGCCATTCTTTATGTTGTTTCTCTTGTTCCTCTTTTAGCTGATAACAGAACGAAAAAGAGAGTGGCCCACCGTGAAAGAAAGCAAGATTTTTCTGCCTTTAAGCAGACGGACAGCGAGATGAAGGTTAAAATCTCGCCACAGCTGCTCCTGGCCATGCACCGTTTCCTAGCAACAGGCAAGTGCGCTGGTCATGGTTTGCGGTCGCTGCGGGCCCCCGAGTGCTCTCAGCACACCGTGGGGGCTGGGGGTGGAGGCCGGGACCTGGGGTGATGAGTAATGCCACTTTTGTGTTTTGTTTTTTTTGTTTTGTTTTTTGTTTTGTTTTGTTTTTTTCTCTTTAAATTCTCTCCTCTCCTGTGTTCAGTGTCGGCATGAACCCTCTGAGACATTTACCAGAGGTGGACCAGTAACTTAAAATTGGTCTGAAAGGTAAGGATGAATGTCAGAGCCACACTGCATGTGTACGCGAGGCCAGGCCGCCTCCTTGCAGCTCAGCCGTGGGGGCTGCTGCTGAGCAGGCTGACTGGACGGCCTGCCTCAGAGGAATAGGTGAACGCCAGTGGTAGTGCAGGTGCTATATTTTGCAAAGAAGAAAAATAGATTTTTAAAATTAAATCTTGGTCGTTTATGGTTTTAATAAAATCAGAGACTCTAAGGACTTTGACATGAATTTCTTGGTGAGCCCTTCAAACCAGATTACTAGCTTAGGCCCACTGTGGGGCATGTCTTCCCATTACCAAGGCCCCCGCCCTTGCCGGCACTGGCTGCTCTGAGCGGTCGAGGTGGACCGGACTTGAGGCGCCGACCACCCCCGCCCCATGGCCGTCTGGGGGAAGGTGAGCCCTGCTGGCCTGGGCCAGTGTGAGAAAATCAGAAGGCACCCGGAACCTGCAGAAGAAGTCTGTAACGCGCTGTGCAGCCCGTACCTTTCAGCTGCGTGTAGTACATGTTTTGAAAAGGAGGCCACCGGCAGCCACGTGACAGAATCCACCTGTACTTTCAGATCATGTTTTCAGATACATGGAAATGCTTACAGTACAGACATGGGAAGATGTCTATGACACAAGATGGGAAAAATAACAGAGAGAACTCTGTGTACATTAAGATTATGATTGTGTTTCTGTGTCTACACATATACACGCGTGCACAGGTGCACGTGCTGAGGCAAAGCCCCGGAAAGATGCTTACCAGATTGCTGTGGTTGGCCTATAGATAATTTTTGTATTCTTCTTTATTGTTTCCTAATTTTCTGCAATGTACTATCATTATTAAAAAAAAAAAAAAATCACAGGTAAATTCAGAATTTATAGCATTCATGCATAGTAACTAATTAAAAAATGAGATCTTCAACTTGCTTCATATTCTTTTTCTAATTCTGATATTGTTGTTCCTCATCAATTAAGAACCACAGGGGCTGGCGAGATGGCTCAGTGGTCTAGAGCACCTACTTAGAACAAGCTTAGCGAAACCTGAAGCCCAGGGACCACGGTTCAATCCCCCAGCACCACATGCCAGCCAGCCCGCCCCCTGGTGGGCTGGGCTGGCCACACACACACACACACACACACACTCACTAAATAAATAAATAAATAAATATTAAAAAAAAATTAAGAACCACACATATGGACTGGGGATATAGCTCAGCAGCATAGGTGCCTGCCTGGCAAGAGCAAGGTCCTGAGTTCAATCCCTGGTACCAGAAAAAAAAAACCAAAAACAAAACACTACATATTTGCCACATGTGGTACAGGCCAATAATACAAGCACTTGGAAGCTGACACAGGAAGATTTGGAGTTCAAGGCCAGCCTAAGCTACATAAAGAGACCCTGCCTCAAAAGAAAAACCAAAACAAAATGGATATATAAAACTCTGAATGTTACCCTCCTCTGCCTCTGAGAAATCATAAAGTCCAGTTTTGAGAGAGTGCCCATAAGTCAATGATTCTGATTTTTTTTAATTTTAAATAAGGTTTCTGCCTTCATAAATGCTGAGCAGCGTCACTTTCATGGGCAGGTTGGCATGCACGTTGGTCGTGCTCAGCTTGCTTTTGTTCTGAGCCTCTCCTTGGTCCCAGAATTGCTCAGGACAGCTGGGCAGACGAGCTGCCGCAGAGCCACACCTGCGCCACCCTCTGCGCCCGGCCTGGCACCCCCAGGCTGTCGCCGGCCAGCAGGCCTTGCCCTGGAGGCCCTGCTGTGCTCCAGGCTGCTGCTGGCTGCTTTCACTCCCATCAGTCAGCAGTGCAGGATGTTTTTCTGAGGGTGAAACTCACGGCAGGTTGAAAGGCAAGATTAAGAAGGAGCAGACCTGAGACTGCAGCATCTTCTGGTCTCCCAGGTGCTGTCCCCAGTGACCACCAAATGGGGTCTTGTTCCTCCGTGTTGATCGCTTCGGTGCCCAGGGGTCTCACTGCTGGAGCTCCTTGCTTATGAGCATGACCTTTTGCGTCCACTTGAGTGTAATGTCAAGTTGTGTTTATGTCTATAGAAGTAGAAGCCTTTAGCCCATCCCAGATGTCAGAGAAGATCCTCCTCAGACTGCTAAAGCACCCCAATGTCATCCAGGAGCTGAAGTATGACGAGAAGAACAAGAAAGCCCCGGAGTACTACCTCTACCAGCGCAACAAGCCCGTGGACTACTTCGTCCTCATTCTGCAGGTCAGAGGAGCCTCTCGGCGGCCCTGTGCGTGCCCTGCGCATGCCCACGTGGCGTGGAGGAGGCCACACGGCGGCCAGCGGGGCTCGGCTCGAGGGTTGCTTTGTCCTTAACCTTCTGTGCTGGGGGGATTGTATCTCTGGTTTGGTTTGGTTTGCAGAACCGGGGATTGAACTCAGGCCCAGGCCCCTGTATCTCTGTTTTCACGTGTATAAAGTAACAATTTATAGTTACTTTACTTCCAGTATTGAAAGGCTAAGTGTGATTGCTAAGGGACCCAGTAGAATGAAGAATGGTGAGTTAGGTTGTTACATTTTGGGAAGAGTTTGGGGAAGCACCTGCCCCTGTGTTGATCTTGGTGGGGTTTTGAGAATTTTTTATCAGGGGCTCCTTGGTACTCCTTGTGTCACCTTTTCTCTTTTCCATCTCTTATTAAATTTGATCTTACACAGTGACCAAGAGATATCTTAGTGTGTCTTCCATGAAAACCGTCAAAATAATCCATTTATTGCTTTTATCCCCTGTAAGGAACCAGACTCTGTTCGCCAAGAGCTGATGCAAGTCTCCAGGCCCACAGGCAGCAGTAACTAGTTTCTTGCACCATGAGGTAGCCTGGCATTGGGGGGCCGCCTGGCCGGAACGCTGGAAGGGCTCTGTGCTGGCGCTACTGGGAGGCCTGCTCTCCTGTGCGTGCTGCCCGTGGCCTGGAGGCCACGAGCGCGTCCCGGGGGATAAAAGCCCAGTTCTGTTGATTTCTTGTGCCTCTTTTCAAAGCATCCTTTTCGGGAAATCTGAGTTTATTTCAATACAAGAATATTAGCCCCTTAAGCTTGCTTGTATTTCTTGGTCATCACCTTGATATGAACTGGAAATCCTCTTTACAAGAACATCATTAGTAACAAGGCCCTGAAATTTTACGTGAGTCCAGCAAGGCTCTAGTTACCTAAATGACTTACGGAATTTATTTTTATTTGCTGCTAGCCCTTCTCAGATGTGTAGGACTCAGAAATGGGTGCCGTGGATGGGGCCGTGGAGGCCCGCGCCTGCACACTGTCTCAGCGTCCGGAGCGAGGAGCGAGGAGCTGAGCAGGTGGAAGGGTTGCGTCTGCAGGGGCTTCTGATCCTGGGCTCGGGTTCTTGCCTGAGTCCTCTGCTGCCCTTAGCCACAGTCACCTAATTCCTCTGGAGATCTGTGAGCTCAAAACTCCATGAGCCCTGGAGGGCATGCAGTGAGGAGACAACGTTCACGTTCGCATAGTCTGGATGTGCCTGTTCCGTAACCCGCAGAAACGTGGAAGGACGGTGAAGACTGTTATTTGGAAGAATGAGGGATCGGTGTTGCGATCTGTCGGGGTGACGCCCGAAGCGCGGTGCCCCTCAGCACTCCTCTGCGTGGCTAGTGTTCCTTTAGTTGTGGTTCAGTAATGCTCTGTTGCTAGATCAGAAAGCCACAGATCTTAAAAGAAGTTGTGTGCAAAGGGACTGTATCGTCTCTGGCCATGTACGAGTCTCGAACCTTTTAACGATTGTTTGCTACGGCTAAGGCATTTTAGGCAGCTACACCTGTATTTGAATATCTCTTCGTGTCAAATGCCTGCACAAATCTGACAAGCTTGCTGAGCTGATGGTGTCGGGGCTTTGTGTGTGTGCTGGCGGAGCAGGCCTGTGCAGGTGCTGGCGCCAGGGCTTTGGTGCAGTCCTGCTCTCGCAGGCCAGCCAGCTCCCCGAGTGCCGCGGTTGCTCTTCTCTCGTTGCTGGGACAAGTACCTGACACTCAGAGTGAAGGGAGGAAAAGTTTATTTAGCTCAGTTACTGGAGGCTGCAGCCCACACTCAGCTGGCTCCACGGCAGAGCGGCACATAGTGGAGGGCAGCAGTTCATGGCGGTAAAAGGCAGCAAAACAGCAAGAGCACAAGGGAGGAGCAGCAGCAGCAACGGCTTCAGAGAGCAAGTCTGCCTCCCACAAGCTGTGTTGCGGCTCTCCACCCCCGGCTGGGTGCAGGACCCACACCCATAATCCCAGCAGCACTGAGATCCATAATCTCAGCCTTGATCATGAATTAATCTCAAACTCTAGAAGTCCTTGCCCCATGACTGCATGAGGCTTTGGGAGGACAACTAGACATAAGCCATAACACTGAGGTACCCAAAGAATGACAGAATAAAGCACCGTGATGCCTGCTGGGAGCCTGGCATAGCTACCATCATTGCAAAGTGCACTGCATCCTAAGACTTGGGACTGCAGACAGATGGCCAGCAGCGGCGCGTGTGGCCCTGAACATCAGAAACTTGGGTCAGAGGGAGCAAGCCGTCTGCCCTTCCCTGCCTCAGAGCCAGCAAGACGCTGTCCCCTGCAGTTGTGGGGACCCTGCCAAAGCTGCTGTCAGGTGGTAACTGCAGGAACCACGTCGCTGTCTGCGTCTCGGGCCTTTCCCATCGCATGTGCATAAGCTGAAACTTCAGATTAACCCAGAAAAAGAATTTTTAAGCTCTGTTGTACTGAGATGTATAAGGGTGATGATAAAAACATAGTAAAGGATAAGAAAATCTTTATTGGCTTTCCTTGCCCTAAATAACTTAGCAAATATACATATAAAAGGAGAAAGTGGAGAGGAACGTTATTTTGGTGGAAATTATTTTTATCATCATAAAAGATCAAGGGCCGGGGAGATGGCTCAGTAGAATAAGCACTTACCTGGCAAGCGCAAGGACCTGAGTTTAATCCCCGGTTCCGGAAAAAAAAAAAAAAAAAAAGCGAAGACTGCATAAAAGATCATACCAGGAAAAGTTATATAGTATTTTAAGGTTGCTAGTAAAATAAAGATAACTGATTTGGAAAAAAATCAGACAAAAGCCAGTGAAGTATACCATTTTTAAAAAATGTATTTCGTACAGGGTCTACAGGGTCTCACTACACAGATCAGACTCGTAGTGATCCTCCTGTTTTTTAGCCTCCCAAGTGACGGGATTACAGGCCTGCGCTACCACGCCTGGTCTCAATTGCTGTCTCAGCGCCCCGGCGGTGGGGCCGGCGCTGCACGCTGGTGATTGGACCCCAGCTGCCGCGCTCTGCCCAAGCAGCGCTTTTAGTCTGCTGAGCTATCTGGCTGGCCCTAGAAGTGTACTTTTTAAAAAAGTATATGACTCATAAAAACTGATCATGCACTATGTCTCAGAGTACATTCTAGTAATTGCAAAAAGGAATTTCATAAAATCACCTACATAGGTCTTCATAAAATTAGACTAGGAATAAAAAGTATACAGTTTAAAAGTACTAACAATGGTGCTAAATTCTCTTGCGTAGGGTTTATCTGTAAGGCACAGGACAGTGTAGTCATTTGTACAAAAGAAAAATGAAGATTCCCTGAAAGGTTATGCAGGAAACTGACAGTAATTGTCCCTTCTTCTGAGGAGACAAGGAGGGCCAGAAGGAGAGGGACAAGGCGCGTTGCTCCCATGTGTGGTTTGAATTTCTCAGTATGTGCATGTCCTATCTATTTAAATTGTCATTTAAAAATAGAATTAATGATAAAAGAAAAACCTCAAAGAGCAAATGAATTAGGGGAGAATACATAGAATATCTGAAAATAGATAATACACCATAAAAGACTATTAATAATGTAAATATCATCTTACAATATATTAGAATTTTAAGAGATGTTATTTCTTAATAACATCTTAAATAAAACATGGAGAAGGGCCGGCCAGATAAGTCAGCAGATTAAAGCACCTGCTTAGGCAGGTGCAGGGGCCAGGGTTCGATCCCCTGGCGTGCCATGCCAGCCCTGCCCCCAGGGCACACTGAGACAGCAGTGGAGACTGGGCATAGTAGCACGCACCTGTAATCCTAGCGCTTGGGAGGATGAAAACAGGAGGGTCACTACAAGGCCAATCTGTGTAGTGAGACCCTGTAGACCCTGCACTAAATTCATGAAAAATAAAAACATGAACTATAATTAGCTCAAAAAAGAACAAAACAATAAGCTAAAAAAGAAAACTAGAAATTGTCATAAAAATAAACTCAAATGAAAAATTCTTACAAAGCACAAATCAAAATTTGATATCTTAGGGCCTGTCATGCTGGCTCTGCCTCTGGGGTGTGCTGAGACGGCAGTTGAGACTGCGGCAGCATGTGCCTGTAATCCCAGCTCTTGGGAGGCTGTCAACAGGAGAATGACATTTTAAAAGATTAATAATATCAGTATTTCCTGTGTATGGTAAGACTGAGGCTGAGGCGAGAGGCTCCCTGTGAGTTTGGGGCCAGGCTGGGCTACATAGTGAGACCTGTTTGAAGAAAAAAAGACCCAAAGTATTGATACTCTCTTGGCATAATTAATGTGATAAAAGAGAAAAAATAAAACAAAGTTTTCTTCCCCCTTAAAAGGAACTGTAACAAATAATGGGAAAAAATTGAACTATTTAAAACAATCTTTGTCTATTAATTTGGTACAGGGTCCCGCTACACAACTCACACCCATAGTGATCCTCCTGCCTCAGCCTCTCCAGAGCTGGGATTACAGGCGTGTGCCATCATGCCCAGTTCAATGGCTGGCACAGCACGCCCACGGTCCCAGACAGGTATGGCATGTGGTACGAGGGATCAAATCTGAGTCCTTGTGTCTCCCAGCGGGTGCTTAGACCCCTGAGCTCTCTCCCCAGCCCCAAAATCAAACTTTTAAGAGTTGCCAATTTCCATATTCTACAAATAGTGCAAGATGAGGTCGCATGCTAGTCAAAGACATTGTTTATGATGACTGTGAGCCGAGTCCTAGCAGCATAACATGAGGGGCTGTCCCGACTAAAAGCCGGTGAGGATAACAATATATGTGGGGACTTATTCATCATGACGCTGTCTCAGTTTGGTTTATTTTAGGGTGAGCCACTAGCTTAAGGACAACTAAACTAATATGTATCACATTATTTAATAAAGCCGGAAAATGTTCTTCTGCTTGTGTCAATAGATACATTAGCTTTGTCAGCTGACAGATTTAAATATCTGGAG